AGTTGGTTTGGTCTCGGAGTCTGCTCCAGAACTCGCTTGCCGTTCAGAAATGCGAAAGTACGCAGCGATGGCGCATAAATACCCCGGACAGGGGGTGCACAGTCAGCCGAAGTCAGAGCCCCGGGTCGGTCTGTCCCAGAGCGGGGTGGGCGGCCGCCCGGGATCCAGGTTCACCGCCGAATATGCGCTTGAATCAAGCGGATCAGCGCAGCGGCAGCCTCCTACCGGGCTGGAATCAACGAACCAATCGACGGGAATAACGCCCGAGGCAAGATAATGGGCAAAATAAAGTATCATTATAATGGTGAAGAATCGAGGCACTCTGCGAAAGCACGCCGGACCCGGTCCTGGCGGCGCACGAGGTTTCGTGGACCTGCCGCTGCTCTGCAACTGGTAGAGGGTTTTCGCGTCGCCGTGCCGGCAATAGCTGCCAACTCGGATCCAGCAGTGGGGTATCCTCGGACGGCGGTCCACCGCTGTTGGGCGGACCGGACCGGGAAGCTGACTGCGCTTGACTGTGCACACCCCTCCCAAGAGTATTTATTGCCGGCCTGCTGCATACCTTGCCGTTCTGAACGCCAACCAGCCCTCGAGCGGAGTCTGACGCCAGGCGAGCTCTTGAAGCAAAGGGATCCAAGAGCTGTGCGGCGCTGCGATGGCCGGGATGGCGAATCCTCGACGTGCCGCCCTGCGGTAGGAATGCGTCCGTTTGGCTGCCTTGCGCGGTTGCGGAGCTGTGTCTGTGGGATTGCTCGGCTGTTGGCCATCTCGCGCGCGGCTTGCGGGGTCGGTCCAACGGATGTGTTGTTGATTCTCCCCAAAGCGTTGCTCCCGCCTGTTGGAGAGGCCATCGTGACACGCTTCGTGTTCAGTGACCAGTGCTGCTCATCGCTCGATTGCCCTGGACCGTCGCTTGCTCGTCCGAGTGTGCGTCAATAGCTGACCGTTACTAGTCGTTGACGCCTGGATGGGAAGTCGAACGACCGCAACGGTGCCAATGCGTGAGTTCATGTCTGCAACGGATTGGCGGAGACTGCTTTACCGTGGGCAACGATGCGCAATAGGCTGTGATGGGTCTTCGATAGGTTCCCAGACCGTCTATCGGCTCCGGAGCATCCTGTCCCATCTGCAACTCTAGAGTTGTCCCGACTGTAGCGAGCCATTGTTAGGTTGCCACAGAGCGCGCCAGTGCGCGGCAACTGCCAGCAATAGCCCAGCTATCGGCCATCCCCCGGAGCCAATCCATGGGTTTGTGCCGTCTGCGGATGAGTGGAGAGGCTGCTTGTCAGCCCCAGAGCAGAGCGTTGCACGCTCGATGAATTCTTGGACCGTCCCTTGCTCTTGCCGCGCGCCATGACTGGCGGCATCTTTCGTTGCGTTCACCCCAACGTGCTCAAGGACGCTAGTCGCCGCCGGCATGCCTGTGGGGAACTCATTCTTACCTTTGCTGTGATGGTTGCAGGAACACGGTCCTGTGCAGGGGATTGGCGCTGGCTGTGCTCGCGGCGCTCGTGTGCAGCGTGGCCGGGTAGGTGGTCGCTCGGTGGCACCCAACCTTCGTCGGGCAGTTGCTGCAGTGCGTCTTCAATTCCTGCGCTGCGTCGTACTATGTGTGAGAGTGGTTAGTGTGACCTGGCGGCTGGGGCTCCTTTATCAGAGGCTTGGCCAGCACTCCCGCGCACGTTGGCCCAAGCGCAGCGGCCGGCGAAGGCGCTTCTCTGACTGTAGGCTGTGGTGCGACAGGAGCCACAGGTACACCGGCGTGGGCCACCGCTCGAGCAAGAGCGGCTACAAGGGCTACCATGGTGGTGCGACCAAAAACTACGGCAAGGGCTACCACCACGTGGTGGGCAGCAAGGGCAACGGCTACTCCAAGAAGTCGTACAGCCACCCTGCGCCTCCTCCGCCTTTGCCCGAGGTCGTGTACGTGGAGGTGGAGACGTGCGCGTGCCTGAACCTGGAGAGCGACAATTGCTGCACCTACGTGGAGCTCATCTGCGACTGGTACGACCACGACATGCTGGACTGCGACACCGCCGCGGCCTTTTGCGCCAAGAATGAGACGGAGCCGGAGAAAGTGCAGGAGCACGTGGCCGCCACGGAGAAGATAAAGAAGCTCTTCGACGGCAAGCTGGAGTCGTGCAGTGAGTGCCCAGCGCCCAGTCTCTTGGCAGGCTCTTGCCGTGCTGCTCTTTCAGCCGCTCAGAAACTGGCGCGGTGACTTGGCATGGTACCCTGAGGTCGTTGTGCAATCTGTCTGTGCAAACTGTGAGAGCCGCGTTTCTGTGCTAAGGACGTACGCAGACGACATGGAGTCATACAAGCGAGAACAGTGCCTTGCCGTGCCTCAGCGTGACAATTTGCTTGCGCTTCGGACTGCTTTTTGGCTCCCTGCTGATTCGCTGTTTGGGATGCCGCAGAAATACCTGTGCTCGTGCCAGTCCCAGTCGTCGGGGCGCCCGGCAAGGACGGCGAGCCCGGTGCCCCTGGGGCTGCGGGAGCCCCAGGCGAGAAGGGCGACAAAGGGGACCCCGGCAATCCCGGCCAGCCCGGCCAGCCTGGGGCCCAGGGAGAGCGCGGACAGGACGGCAATCCCGGGCAGGCTGGAGCCCGGGGCGAGGCTGGCGCGGCCGGGAGGGACGGTGCCCCAGGCGCCCCAGGCAACCCCGGCGCCATGGGAGAGCGAGGCGCCACTGGATCCCCCGGAACGCCCGGAAGCCCAGGCCAACAGGGACCGCCAGGGAACCCGGGGCAGCAGGGCAATCCCGGCAGGGACGGCGCCGACGGACAGCCCGGAGCCGCCGGGGCGCCCGGCGCTCAGGGCCAGCCCGGTGGTCCAGGACCGCAGGGGCCTCAGGGCCCCGTCGGTGTGCCGGGGGAGGATGGCGCACAAGGCCAACCCGGACAAGACGGCAAGGACGGGTGGCCCGGGAAAGACGGCACTCCCGGCAGAGACGGCACTCCTGGCGCATCTGGCAGGGACGGGGCGGACGGACAGGCAGGCAAACCTGGGACGCCAGGGCAGCCGGGGACGCCCGGCACGCCGGGGCAACCGGGAGCGCCTGCAGGACATTATGACCACAAGGAGGCCAACGAACACGAAACTGGGAGTGGGAAGAGATGAGGCCGCCAACGAGGTAGGCAATCCGATTCTCATGCTGTCGAGCACGTTCCAGACTTTGAGTGGCCTGACTGGTGGATGGTCCGTTGTTGAGGCTCTCATGCACGGGCGATCATGCGGCGAGAAAACGGACGCAAGCTGATACGTGCTCGGAAGTCCCCAGTAGAGTCGCCTTCTCTTCGCGAATCTCTGATGGTAGTCTGGCCTGCTTTTCAGTGTGGGGGATGGGCACCGAGTACATTTCATGGTGATGCGGTGAGAAGGCGAGGTGGGCAGGGCGACTCGCGTGCAGCCTCTTCGGCATGTTCTTCAAGGAACCGTAGCCAGAGACTGATGCACAACGAGCACCCGCTGGTTATCCCCGCCAGAGGACAACTCAGGGGCATGCCAGCAATTCTTCTTGGAGAACGAGGACTTCCATCGTAGGCTTTTCATTAGTTTGGACGCATTTGTTGGCGGTGTGGCGGCTCGGGGAGTCTGACAACGGCTGATCCCAACCACGGTATTTGAGATTTTTCCTGCAAGGAATTGTACAACAGTTGTAGCACCAATTAGGCGAGATGCGGTAAGGCAGAGACACGGATGCACTGCTATGGCCGAGCGGGGCTCACGAAGGACGGATGGTCTTTGGGAGCCTACAGTTTTCAGAAGGGTGGAGATCCGCCTGGTGGCGGGCATTTGTTCGACGAACAACATCATTCGACTTGTAATTCACATCGCCGACAATTTCTCACAATGGTGATTTCAACGAGCGTGGTTCTCTCACAAACATGTTGCACCCAACCGATGCTACTGACGCGAATCTTTCCATCGAGAGGTGTACGAGAATGTCATCTTCACTGTGCAGCACTATTTGGGCTCCTCTGCAACAGAAAAAATGTTGGAATACCGAAGATTCTATTGCTCAAGTGCTCAAGTAAATGAGCGCGAAGCTCACATTTCTGATTGTAATGCGTTGGCCATCCTAAGTTGATCAGTTTGCGCATGATGATGACAATAGTCTGGATGTCCCATCCACAACAAAAGGGACAGGCCAGGAGATTTACATGCCTGACTTTTGAATCGTGCTACGGAACCTTGAGTGAGATGCATACATGCAAGGCACTACCCCACATCTGTGCCCCTGGGTCCACCTGATTCCCGGATCGTCTCCCAGATTGTGCATCTGTGAGTTATGTGTCCATGCCGCAAGTACATTCACAACTCTTCCCGTACATACCCAATACGAAGTCACTGACAGCATTCGTGAGTCGTGCATTAAACAATTATATAATCTAGTGACGCCATATGCAGCAACGCAGTACAGCATGCGCCTGGTGAGCGACTTTGCCAAACAGAGACTTTTTTCTCTGCTTGGAGACTGCCCCCAGACAGGAAAACACCAATGGTCTTTGACGGCAATGACACCCGGCCCCATGCCCCACACAGCCCGCTTGATTGCACATACCCCTTTCTATCGACTCTCAGCGCCCACCACCCTCAGTACATGCTGCAATGGACTCGCGAGTCCAGGCGATTGCCTCAGCGTCATTTGTCACATCTCGTATGACAAATTTACCTTTAAAGGCAGGCGCGGTCGAGGAGGGGCGGCCCCTGGCTGGCGACCGTAGGCTCGAGCACACAGCAACGTTTTACAGCGCAGCAAAAGGACAACTCGAATTCAGTCCCTTATATATCCGGTCCGTTTGTCGGTGTCCTTAATCCAGTTCCTGTTGCCTCATCACCTCTTAATGCGTCCAGCGAATAACAATACTCGATCAGTTCTAGTTACGACAACGGTAGTGCCACCGCGGCATCAACAACTCCAGCGAATGTAGTTTACAACTTTCCTAGTCGCCAACAGCGTAAGCTGCATTCCTGCGACCTGCCCCGCACAGCCATGTCCGGTGAAGCCCTGCGGTACGCGCGGAAGGCGGGTGGGGAGCGTGTCATCCCGGCGTCGCGCAGGCCGGACGGTACATGGCGCAAGGAGAGGCGTGTGAAGGAGGGCTACTTGCCGCAAGAGGAGCAGCCCCTGTACACCGCCAAGGGAGCGCTGGTGCGCCCACTGAGGAACAGTCCCAACAGAAAGGATAACAGTCCGGGCGACTGGGTGGTTTCCTGCCAATGCTCTTCTGCGTCATGTGTTCTTTATTCTTCGTTGCATACATTCTGTAGTCTGTTCCTGCATTCTGTTGTTGACTCGGCACTGTTATTGCGCTTGGAAACACATGCACCACCTCCTGCAGCACAGAAAACATAGCCAACAATAGTTCCCACTCAACACAGGGGTCGATGCGCCACTGGCGCTGCGGAGGGGCTGCCATTTGAGAACCGACCCTCCGCATGGGATCTGGTGGACTTATTTGACATATGGCCCCTGTGGATGGGGTACGAATCTTGCTCTTTCCAAAGAAGCGTGACTCTTTTGCTTGTGGCCTTTTCCGGTTCTTTTATGCCACCTCTGCAAGGACTGTCCACTGCACCATGATGGGAGGTGCATATTGGCACTGTTTGTGGGACGATGTTGTTTTTCGTGGTTCATTTGGAGTCGCTATTTGGAGAGGTGCGCGATGAAGTTGACTGCAGCTGCGGGATGTTTGTTTTAACGCTGCTTGCCTTATGTCCAGAACAGAAGGGGTGTTCCTCAATGTCCAGGCCTAGAAGATGATGCAGGTGCGGGTGGTGGCTGATATGAATGGATGGAAAGCATTGGCAATGGTTCCTTTTATTTTCTGTCCATATTTGAGGACCACAGTCCTTGGTACATGTTCGTTGTCATGCACATATGGAAGACAGCTTGCGATGACTTGTTTGAAGCCACAGCTGATCAAAACGCTGCAGATGTAGATGGCTGCAAGTGAGCTACACGTATGTTCACTATACCCAGACTGCCCAGCAACAGAACGTGGTAGGTGCCCTTGCAGGACTGGAATTGGCGATGAAATATAGATTTCTGTCAGCAGAGAGAATCGCCGATGCACAGCCTCAAAAGTCCAAGTCTGCCAAGCGCAATGAAAGACGGAAGCAGAAACGTCTGGAGAAAAAGGATGCAGACGATGACGATGCTTTTGAAGGCGGGGAGGCAGATGCATCTGTCTCAAAGTTGACGGAAGACATCGGCAACTTGAGGTGGGCATCCTAAGACTCAGTTAGATGTGGGGGTTGCGTATAGTCTCAATTGATGATCTGCACAATCCTGCCAGCAGAATGTAGTGCGCGAATTTCCGAACAAAGTTTCATTATCTGTATCAAGCTGCAACTGGGACAGGTTGAGTGTTGCTGCAAGTCACCCAGACACTACTGTCGTGTTGCTGACCATGAATGCAGTCTGGGCTATCTCAACTGGCCAGAATGTACTACTTTGAAAGTATATCTCTGCGGTGTTGACGCTCGACATCATCTTGCAGTGTCCATCCCTCTGTGCAGAGCTGCCCAGCAGAAGGGGCCAGGAACGAGGAACAACAGAGCGATGAGCAGCAGGCTTCCGTGCTCAAAAAATCTCGAGCCCTGAAGAAGAAACTTCGAGAGTGTGAGGCACTGGTCAAGAAACGAGAAGATGGCACAGCCCTGCTCCCGCAGGAAGAGCTGAAGCTGGAAAGAATGGGAGAGTGGTGAGTGAAGGAATGGCATCCGGATAGACCACAGAAGTGACGCGGCATTGGCATGGCATGTGTCACTGCAGAAGCCAGACTGGCAGGCAGCATCCTAACTTGGTGATACTTAAGTCAAGTAACCAAATTCAATGCTTGTGCTAACGTTTCTGACAGTCTGCAAGATGGCACAGTGGTGAGGAGAGGGACTGTAGTAGTTCACTAGAAGTTTCGCTATCGTGGAAGAGGAAGCATGCTTTAGAGTGAGGTTCCCAAAAAGAAATGACCTGTCAGGATTCCTTTCTACACCTGTTCTGGAGGGGCTGAAGGCTCCAAGCGCACTAGAATTAGCATGCAACACTAGGGTTGCTGTGCCTTGTCCTTGAACTCGACTTGGTTGTCAAAAGCAGTAGCAGTGCCCCTCAAGCCTCAAAGCCAAGAAGATCGCTGTCGTCTCCACAGGGTTCTGTTCGCTCAGTGTTAGCAATTCCCTCTTGCCACCAAACAGCCCACAGTAGTGACGAGTGGCCACGAAAGGAAAAGAGCATCAGATGCCATGCCAAGGAGGGGTTGGTTTGGGAGCGAACGACCCTCGAAAACCTGCTTGACTCACCATATCTTCATTCTGTTTGGTTCTATTTGTTCTTATGAAAACTATGGAAAGCGCTGCCATTTCTGCTTTTTGGAATATTGCGGGCGCTCCCTCGTGAGTCCGTCTGCGAGAGAATCGCTGTTGGGAAAACACTTGGCTGATGCACAGGAACGAAGACTCCTGCAAATGACAGTTTGGTGCGCAAAGCACTAGAGCTTTTCTGTTTTGGGTTTGACGAACAGTAGGCGTCCGTGTTGTTTGCTATTTCACCGGCGAAATGTCTTTCATTGATGCATATGTATGCCAGACACCGTGCCAGCTTCGAATCACTGACGCCAGTTAATTGGGCTGAGTGTGCTGAATGCGCAGTCACATGCACCGGCCCCACGCTGATGCTGCAATGTATGTGAATGTCGCGCAGTGTGCTCAGACATGCTCAAGGCAACTCCTTGCGCTTTGTTTCCAATCTGATTCCGCGATGTATTTTGGCTTGGCAGGGCACAAGAGCTTCAAGCCCTTTTGGATGGAAGCAGCGGTTGACAGTACGATACGTTGTTAGTGCTTAGCTGTGCGTTGTGGGGCGGCTCAAATCTGGCAACGGGAGAGAAAAAACTTTGGAGCTGTTCTCGGGCCTGTCTCGAGCTGGGAGAGGAGCGGTGTGTTCAGATGCTCCCTGCTGGACTTCAGATGGTGTGCATGTTGTCGGCTCGCTGTAGACAGCTGCAGAAGGGCGAAGATGGCAGAGCCCATGGGCCACACCCTTTTTCCCCTGGACCTCACCGTGCCTGTGGCGAGGTGACCAAGAGTGCATGGTGACAGTTGACAACATGTGCGTGGCTATTTCGTTGGCGTGCTGCGACTCATCGGCAGAGATGCGGCAGATTGCTCTGGATGCGTGCAGGTTGTGTTGAAGCCAGTTCCGTCGGGCTCTGCGCCGCGGGGAAGGGGTCTTCCGTTGGACCTGGCGGAAGCCAGTGCGCTCCTGTTGGGAGACTTTTCTGGACGCCTTGCTGAGCCTCTGGCATGGCGTGTTTCCTCGTGTGCAGCTGACGCTGCCGACGTCAGCACCCCGTCCTCGTTGGAGAATATGTTACTCCCCGTTCTTGTTTGCTGAGATTCGGTTCTTGTTTCGCTGACAAGGCCAGTCCCGGTGCGTGGATCAGTAGGTTGGGGTTTAGGGTGTCCGAAAACAAGAACCGAATCTCAGCAAACAAGAACAGGGAGTAATTTCATGCCTCCTCGTTGGGTCGCATCTACCTGGCGCCCCTATTCATTGCGGGCCCCACACGGTACTCCTGCTTTTGGAGGTCGACTTCTGAACAGTGCGCCCTCCACAAAGTGTCGTTTCGTCGTCGATCATCAACGCAGGTGCGTTTGCGTCTCATGCTGGTAATCACAAGGTCGCCTTGTGCACCTTCACGGACCCCCTCCCCTCCCCCCCCCCAAGCTGAGTGCAGCTGAGCACGCTGAATCGAGAGTTGAAATCGATGAAAATGAAGCAGGGATGCCCGTCCTCAATCTTGACCGCGCCACCTCCCAGATCCATTCCCACGTGGCAAGGACCCCAATCCACGCCTCCTCGCCAGGCCAATGATTCTGCCTTCATTGTCGTGTCAGTACTTTCCACCCAGCAAGGCCCTGTGCCGCGCAGCGTTCCGTCGCCATAAGCAAACGTAGTAGCGACGCCGGATGCTCTCCGTTGATAGCAGCACGGCAATCACTTGGTGCAGCGGGGTGCCGGATCATGGTGGCATTCGCAGACTGGCATGGCAAGTGATTGGCTCGCACCTGCCAACAAGAGCCTGCTGAGCTACGCTATATGACGCCATACGACGCTATAGAGACACTGCCAGATGCTGTTGCTGTGCCTGTGTGCTGGATGCTGAACCTCCAGCCGCCACACTGACCTCAGTGACACCGCACTCCGCAATTCCAGCTGACCGTCCGTTTGATTGGGATCCATTCCCTTCGTCCATTTTCCGCCTTTAGGGCTTTTAGCAAAAGCAACGGGCACCCAGTTTCTTTTGCCTGATCTCCAGCCAGTGGCCGTGATCGCACTTTCTGGTCAAACGTTGGGCGCAAGCACCTGCGGCGCCGATGAACCGGCTGTGCCTCAACTCTCACACTCTCAAAACAGTTAATAAAAACACAACGCCCACAGGAGCGCCGAGCTCACGCATGTGCAGCCGTCATCCACCTGTTCCTGCAGATTTCGACCCGAAACCTATCGTCGGTGCTGCACAAACGCGATCAACGGCGCACGCTGGCATGTGCTCCAGCACTCAGGTGAATCGTATGCCCCTGCAGGCGCCCCAAATGCCCGTGAGGACTCCAAATCCTACCTGCGCCCCTTCCACCTTTTAATTGCCCACTCGCATATCCTTGCTTATCTGCGGGGCGCAGCGCTGCACAGTGCCGCAATGGAACGCACCCTGCGCCTTTGGGCACAGAGACGGACCCAGGGGCGGGCGCCCCTCCACGGCGTCCGCCCCATTTGCGCGTTAAGTGCAATGCGTGGGCCCTGGGGCCCAGAACGACAACCGAACTGATCCGCATCTCTCAACAACACAGCCGCACTTGCGGCACCCGTCCTCCCGTGCAACGACTTCTCGCACATCACGTCATGCAGCGACCTGTGACGTGGCAATCGTCAGGTCACGTCCGTAATGCCAAATCAGGCACGTCGGCGTGCAAACTTATTCCTGCGGTGGTGGAAATCCGGACAGCCCCTCCGGGCGCAGCAGCCGCCAGGCACTCCCCCACCAGCCCTCCCGATCCACAACGCCTCCTGCGCACACGTAGCCTGACGCGCACCCCCCGCTCGGGAACCAAAAACAACAAAGACAGCGACAACCCAACACAAAATGGAAGCTAAGACTGAACTGTGTCCTACCCCCTACAGGTGAGCCCTGCATCCAACCTCCTCCAACCTCCTGGTGCTATTGAGAACACACACTCACACTTCGCTTCACCAAATTGCCAACTTTCTTGACTAACAGTAGCCGCTCAGGTCAGGGCGGTACGCTTGGGTTGGGCGACAACATCGGCGAGAGGACGTCGCTGTACATCCCAGTGATCTTTGCCGTGTGCTCCTGCACCAGCGCCTTGGCGCTGATGGCCGCATCCTCGTCAGGAAAGGAAAGCACCCAGTGCCCGTCCACGAGCTGCTGCCAAGACGCTGTAAGAGGTTTGTTGCCTTGCTCGGATGACTGCCACACAGGTCAAACATTAGCCCATTGATCTTTCAAGTCGTTGAGATTTCATCTTGTTCACCACAAGCATACCTTATGATTATGCATATGCATATCTTGCTGCCATGGCACAAGCACAGCGCTGGTATAGGTATCTTCAATGTCGTTGCATGCACCTGGGTTTCTTCGTGTCTTGACAAATCAGATTCATCACCTTATTGCCTTGTCAAGTTGCCGATCCATCGCTCAGTTTCCAAGTAACATACGAGAGGCATTCAGCCTCTTTCAATGCAATAGTCTGAACGGACAGTGTTCTGTCACATCAGGACAGACCAAACCAGCAGCAGCTCAACCAAACGAAAATACCCTGCCACCTTGTTGAGGTCCAATTTTTCGCCCCGTGCCTCACCTTTATGGCTCGAATAAACCGCCGGACAGGGGGCCTCACATGCAGATGCAACCACCGCGGGTGGGCGCTGTCAATCACCGGGTCTGTTCCAAGCAGCGGTGCCACCGACAGCACTGTCCCCGCATTTGCCCGTGCCTCCAATGGCGCTGCAAGAATCACCACGGGCATCGATTTGGCCACCCCCTCAATGTCCTTGGGCCCCATATTGCCACACTCAGTGAGGGCTGCAGTGGGGCTGCCGTAGACAGTGAAGTACACGGTGCGCTCCTGGCCCTTGGCAAAGGCCACGGCACAGCGGATGTTGGTGGACTTGGACAAGTCTACTTCGCTGGATTCCTTGATCTCCGTGGTAGCGATATCAGTGTCGGGGATGGCTGGTAGGGAGCAGCTCTCGGGGATGTCCGATTTGGACAGCAGCTGTGAGCAAAGGGACCGCATGTGAGATCCATGTTGCTTCTTCGTGCAGCTTTTCTGGTGCCGGTTTTGATGTTGGTTCATGCTTGCTTGATTGCACTTGGTTTGAAGTGACAATTGCTGCTTTGCACCTTCCGATGGTGGGCAATGATCTATTCGGCAGAATGTCTTGCTGAGCTGTGTTCCTGATTGATCACAATTAGGTAGCTTGACTGATTGATCAATCAGCAATCGCTTTCGATCACTGATCGTTCATTTAGAAATCAATACTGGGTAATAAGCTAGTGCACCAAAAGCTATGGAACACTTAGAAATCGCCGGTCCCATGTGAACTCTCAGTAAAGAATACATTGATGAAGCAGCAGGATTGTCCCACAGTGACAGCACAAGCCCACAACAAGAACGGATGAGAGCTTGAAGGCTCAGATCTGATTGGGGCAATTGCATGGTGAATGGTGGACAGTCGTGAAGGTAGGTGTGGATCGTTACAAGTGAACACACAGGGGCAACCAAAGGCCACAGACCAGTTCCTTTCTGCTGTGCCAGGGCCATATGAAGCACAGCAGTACAGGATGGTACTGAAGGAGAGCAATGCGTTGTCTTTATCTGTGGCAGATGCCCATTCAGCACAACAAGATAAGTTAGAAAGCACACACTGGATCGTCACACCCACAGCCCCAGGACTCCACAACAAAGTCGAACGTTGCCAAAGAAAGACTCAAAAAGCAGTGCTTCGCCTTTGATGTTCTAAATTCAAGTGGACAATTATGGCTCACTTTGCACCGTTTCACCATGAGCTTGCACTGGGCGCCTCATCATCTTCTGAGTTCAAGGGAGGGACAACAAAGGGAGCTCACAGGGTGTCCATTTCAGAATTTAGAGGGCGCATTGCGGCTACAACGATTGGCCAGACACTGTCAATTGATTTTGGCACATGGGAGGCGAGACTTCTCGCCCCACAGATATGATGACCTGGCTGGACAGCAACCAATTGGCCGAGAAAGTGTCCCTCCCTCAGCCCCAGTGTCCCTCCCTCTTGAAGCATCGGGCAGCCCCAGCTCCATGTCCCTAAAGCTCAATGCACAACTACCAGAACACCCTAAAGGTGACAAAGATTCGCCACGCACCTCGTTAACCTGCATCATTGCCACCAGGCGCTTGACCTTATGGTGGATGTACACAGCAGCCTGTGCTGAGAGGCTCAGTGACCCCCGGCCTGCCCTCTGATGGGCAGCAGGCCCCCTGCGGGAAGCGAGTGCCTTCCCGGCCTCAAACGACTGCTGTGCATGCAGCCAGGCCAGCACAGCATTGCCAGTAGACTCCAACGCTGGCTGCAGGATCACCTGCTCCATGCCAGAAATCGGTTGTTGAGGCAGACATCCACATGAATGAATTTCATCATCATTCAACGAGTCATTGCCTTGCCAAAATCACCATCAAAACTGGCTAGGTGAAGAGGTTCATCCTCTGCCTTGAAAGGCAAATGCACAATAATATGCAAAAGGCAGCACTCAAGACATCATAAGGACACATGGTACTGCATAGATGTCAAAGTGCCAAACAATCTGCCACCATTTCAATAGGCACGAAAATGTGGGTACATGATGTGCGGGTCTATGTGGCTAAAACGTGGGCCATGGTTCCAGTGCCCTCCGTTATATTGCTATGGGCTGTCAGAGATTAGGAAGCTATCGTGTTGGCCAGAATGTCAACCAAGATCAAAGGCGGAAGCCGGATTCACCGCCCCACCCATCGACCTGTAAACACTACCTGCCTGGCTTTCGGCCACTCCAGGTGGACCAGTGGCAACAGTGCATCGCACCACATGCCTCTGACCTCCTCTGACAGGCCCTGCCGCGCCGACCGCAGCGCTGCCTGTATGTTGTCAACGTGCCACGCCTCCATCCGGCTGGTTGCCTGGCCCTTTCCTGCTGCGGGGAGCAGCTGGTTCAGCAGCCAGGCCGTGTGGCAGATGGACGTGGCCGGGAGGGTGGGTAGCAGCAGCAGGCTGCACAGGGCGTTTACCATCTGTGCGCCTGTCAGCAGCAAGGGGACAAACGTCTTGAGGCACCCAGAGGTAAATTCTTCGTGCTGCATTTCGTGAAGGCACCACCAATGAACCAGCGGGAGATGTCAGAGGCACCGTGATGTCGGAAAGGAAGGAAAAACATGGAAAGTATTTCAGGCAAATGCCCACCAACAGGCTGAGCAAGACCTTCTGTGAACACTGTTCCAAAGCATGCAAGATGGTCACACTGCCTGTTCAGTGCCGCTGAACTGCAGCAGCAATTCCCCAGTTGAGCAGGCACCAAAAGGCCAACTGCACAGTTGTGTCCCCTTACCACCCTCACTCCCGGCCACAGGTCCATCCACTGGGACTGGCTCTTCTTCCGCCCGTTCCATGAACACTCCTCCAACAACAGCCTCAAGGAGCTCATCCACCAGCGTGCGCGTCCTTGGCGACGCCGAGTATCGACCAGTCAAATCGTTCTGGGGGCTTGTGGGGTCATTCCCATTGGCGGCAGGCGTCTCAGCTGAACAAGCACATCAGCAGAGCCATCAGCATGCACCCCACAAGGGCATCCAAATAGATATGAGACATACCAGCTGACATTGGCTGCAAACACTCAAAAACTATACTTCTATCCACTTAGGCACTGCCAAAGAAGGCAACAGGGTGGCAGCAAATCAGCTGTTGCAGCGCAGGCTGAGCCCTTAACCCAACAGTTGGCACCAACTAACGCGCTTGTAACTTGCAGCAAATCCATTGCAGCAGTTATGATCAATTCCCTGACTTCAGCAAGGCTGGCTTTAGCACAATGGACCCTTGATCCATGCAAATCGGCCATTGCATAACAAAAACAGAACTCGAGTTGAATCGACAATCCGTACAATATTTGCTGGCCGACTCCAATGTCTCAGTTTCTGACTCATCAATTGGGCACATCTGGGCCATCAATTTGTATCAGGACATAGGCTAAGACTTGCACTGCACAACATCTGTCTGTTTCTGCGGAATGCCTCCATCTGGGTAATCTCCTCACATGTCCTAGGCACATGCACACAAGCATTGTAACCTGCATGGATCGCAGTTGCGGATATGCCATAAGGCGGTGTTCTCGCATTTAAACCATGCTGGATGCCATCTAAATCAACAAATGCCCATCTCCATTGCGCATTCTCTTGCTGCTGCACATTTCATTGCTCAAGTCTTCTCTGTCACGGGTGGCACTCATGTCATCCTGTTGGTAGATCTTCAGTGTTCCTTCTCTTGCCAGAATTCCAGTTTTCACCAGGGTTGAAGCACACATTTTGAAGCAAACAAAGTAGATGGAATGACCCCCTACCAATGCCTGGATGGCAAAAGTCAATTTTTGTCAATGCGATCGGGCAGATCGATGTGTCCCTGCTTATACTCACAAATGAGTGGAAGCTTGTTTCCGTCTCCATCTGTTTGACTTGCCACTGTGCCCTCAGGCACCAGCGGCAGCCTGAACGACGCCAGCTCGTCACTGCCAATGGACCCACGGGACCGTCGGATACGCACAGGTCGCACAGGCGGCGGCATGTCCATCCGAGCACGTGGCGTGGTGACAGAATCATCTTCCAGCTCGTTGGGGGCTGAGAGTTGTGTCAGCAGGTCTTTTCGGATGCGGTGTCTGTGAGGCAGCACTCCCATGACGTCGAGGACATCGACGTCCACTGACATGTTGAGGATTAGAGCCACCTGTAGAGAGCAGCGCAAGGTCTGACAGTCTGCAATTGGGGAAACGAATGCACAGTAGGCAGCGCACACTGAAGACAGAGGCAGGAGTCGATGAAAGAACACAAGAACGAAAAGAGAAGACGAGAGAAACAGGAAATGAAGCACAAGGGGAAATGGGTCCAAATCTAGACAATGTATGCAACAAACAATATACAAAATACAGAGAATGATGGGGATCAGAGTGCGGGGCACTGCTGACTCTCAAAGCAACAGAGAAAAGGATCCTTAATGCAACCAGTTGCTGTTTGACTGATATCAGGCAGGATCATGCAGATTCTCGATGTTGAGCCACTGGCAGTTTTCCTGGACTGGGCATGCTGGGGGCTAGCAAAAGTTGAGGAGCCAGGCATGAATACAAAACAAGTGTTCGATGAGGTGATGTTCCAATGCGCAGTACAAAATGACCTCAGGCTGTTCTAGAACGAACACAAGGTGCCTTTCCGATTCAGTTCTCAATGGACGCCAGGCAGTTATCCACAGCTTGTTAACGCAATGCCAATGCAGCAGTCACCCAATTCAACCTATTCTCTCGCTCTGGCATGCTGTGTCTTGCTTGTCATACTCCATTTCCAATTCTGAATTTTAAACCGTTCATTCGATCCCCTGTGGAAGGGAGGGCTCCTCACCAGGACACGAACAGCAGCCACTCCAAGCTGGCAGCTGCTGCCTGTGAGCGTGGACAGGAATGCCTCCCTGTAGCGCTCATACAGCTGGATCCTGCTCCACATATGTTTCCTGTGCATGGCACCAGCTGAACCAGCCGACTGGTCCCAGGGAGGCTCTGCTCCAGCCTGCTGCTCAGGTGCCGCGAAAGGCGAAGGAGCCACTCCTGGGGTGGCACAGCCACGTCCATCAGCACCACATTGCCAAAAGCTGTGTTCCTTGCTGGAAGAAAAGAAATGGTGTCATTTGTGGCAGCCAATGGGCGTCACAAGCTTTGCTAGGAATAGTTTTGCTGTGGTGCAGCCTGCTAGACAGCTCCATGGTCACCTAGTCAGCCCGCAGCCTTTGCCAAGGTGCCTGCATCGAATGTATCAAGGCTCTTGCAACAAGGACCCCTACTGAGCAACATTTGCACAGTGAGGTATTTGAGTATTGTGAAACGTGATACAACAGTCTCCAAAGTGGGGCAGGAACCGAGTGTGCACCATAGCAGCATGCCCATCAATGCCTCCTTCCTACCTTTTCTGCTTCTCTAGACACTCATTTTCCTTTGGCTTTTAGGCAGACACTATCAACCTAATTTTGGAAGAGAGTCTGTACTGCGACATGTTGGACATCAGCAACCATGGGACAGAGCGCATTGCTACTGTTACTGGACATACATGCTTGCGACAGAACCAACAGCAATCAATAGGTCCACATGGTCAGGATCCACCATGAGAGGTGCTAATTGTTCACATACCTTCCTCCAAAATGACAGTAAACAGCCCATGCACCTGACGTCAAGCATACGTCTCCTTGCAGACTGTCCAAAACACAGTTGCCACAACTGCCGCAGTCCAAATCACTCCATTACGCACTGCTCTGAGTCACTGAGAGGTGTCAACAAGAGTGGTCGAAAGCAGTGGTAATGGCAGGTCACCTGGGCTCCCTGTGCCTCCCGTAACCCCAGCACCAGCGACGCCTTCTGTACCACTTTTGCCGCTGGAGCTGGTCTGTTTTTCGCTGTCTGCACGCCGTGCGTCCTCCTCACCTTGCCAGTCACCATCACCAGGCGCAGTGGGCTCCAGGTAGGGCCCCATAGCCTTCTGACAGGCCACACACTGGCCCTGTGAGCCGGCAAGGAGACAGCAAGCAGCAGCATTCACAACCATCGGATTGTCCACCAGGCGGAACAAGCGTTCCATCACATATAGAGAGCACACGGGACGGACAGCGCTGGTGTGCGTAGTATTTTGACCTGTGCACACAGAGTGAATATAAAGCCACTCAGAAGGCTGCTATCTCTTGCCAGCAAGCCACATTCACTGTTTCACACTATGCCAAATGGAGGTCGAGCAATGACAGCAGCCACCAATGATTGTCCCCATAGCACTACGAACATTTGTGCAGATGCACCTAAGACACTGGTGAAAAATGCTGCTACAGGCACTGGTGAAGCATCGGTGGCAGCTTTACCCAACATGACTTACCTGTGCATGACTTACCTGAAGGCGATTAGGCTGACACCAACAGCAAAAGCAACGCAAAATGCAGGGGCAACTGCAACAGTGGCAAGGACGTGACAGACAGGCATAATTGGATGATCTTTATTGTGATCTCTACTATATTCTTTCACTTCCAAGTGTGCAATATGCTCTTCAAGTGGACATGTCAGAGACACGGTACAGACATACAGCCAAATCAAGATACGCTGTTTCAGCTCCATGCAATCTGATCTGAATAGCAGTTAGTACATTCCTAGGACCCCAGCCAATCCTATTCAAGTCTGACAATGCCTCAAGCTGTATAGTGAGGAGGCAAGGGATCCTCACATTCTGCATTACGGGTCTGCCACCTGATCCTGTGACTCGTGGGCAAGTTTCTGGAACAGCAGAAGGAAACAGCCGCAAATAAAGCACAGAGTCTAAGCGGCACAAGCTGACACCTTGCTTGGGACAGACTGATCAAAACACAGCAGGTACTCCTGCACCATACCTGGCCACAGCAGCAGGTCTGCACATTGGTGCAGTTACCCAACAGCTCAAGAATCTATACAAGCAAGGTGTCACGAACACAACAGCAGATTTGGCATCAGTCTTTGGGTCAGCGCTGTTTCCTGCAGGTTGGCGCAAGTCGCCAGAGCAAGACTTCAGGTGGCACACACCGTCTTGGGGCCTGTTGCCAAGCATGCTTGGGACAGGGATGTCCAGCAAGGGCCAAAGCAGGACAGGACCTACAAAATACTCCCACAGCGCCTTCGAAAACTCCTCCCCCATTGCGTCTGAGCCTGCACAGCAGGCAATAATCCATTTTGAAGTCCTTGGACAGGCATTCAGCAAATAACGAACAGGGGATCACCTCACAAGGGCATGACTAGAATACATTCGTTCTGTTCCCAATCAACAGCACACTTATCACTGCAGTGTCGCCACCCCACAAGTGTAGAGTTGATGTCTTATCACATTCTTGATGGAAGAAGCCAAAACAGTAGGTCGTTCAGTGCCACAGTGCGCAATGCAGATGGTGCCAGTCTTTGGCTTCCACCAGTGGCATGAGTAAGCTTCTTGGGGTGTTTTGTCTGTCACTGTGCCCAACAGTCACACCCTAAAGTCCGTGGTCATGGGGTAATGACTTGTCAAAGTTTGACAAGCACAACAGTGTGTACAACCATCAGCCAAGAAGCACACATAGAGGCCACAACATATAGCAGTGCATGCGGGGAGGTGGGGTGTGGTGGGAAATCGAACCTGTGGACAAGATATCATTGAAGTAGGACAACACAGCTTCAATTTCCGCTAGTTGGCTGTCCAAAGCGCTCATGGATGATTTTTCGCCCTTCTCTGCAGTGGAGAGCATGCGATCGAGCACCTAATTGCCACAGGTACATGGGTCAGCACTATTGTCCACAAGTGCAACAAGGCAGGACAAGCTGTGTGCTTCCCTGCAGCAGTGTGGCTCGTGCGTAGAATCATGTCAAGCTGCAGAGCTGAGGAAGACATGGATCTAGCAGGCCAAACAAGGGATCTCTGGTTCCCCTGCAAGGGTCTGCCCAGCACATGACACAGCACAACATCGCCTTGGTGGGTGGCAGCCAGTGCCTGGTGGGCCAGTACCTCTGGCCCACCCGCAAGACCTTGCACCCACCGGAACGCCATGCCCGCAATGAGCCATGCTCTGGCCTTGTACATAAAGGCGTTATCTGCTGGGTGCCTTGCTCTGGCCCCGTCCATATGCAACCACCAAAAGCAACGCTGGCCACCACCATCACCATCAAGCAAACAGCATTTTCACATTCTCAAAGCCAATCGGACCAGATCCACTGGGCTGACACGCCTTTGGGCTGCAGGAGGGGGTGGTGCACTGTTTGATTGCCCCTGGTTGCCCCTGATTGCCACCTGCCCTTAACAGCCCCCACAAGGGCATGTACCTGCCTCTGCCGCAGAAATCATCCCCCTGGTCGAGCCCATTACGGCCCTTATCCTTCCCCCTGCCACCCACCCACCTATCCACCCACACAAAGCTGAGCAGGGCCCACTGCATACTTGCTCAGGAGGGGTGCTCCATTGCATGACCTGGGCTTCGTGGATTTCAACACATCTTGACACACACGCACAGCGGGCGCCTCACACACATACAAACACACCTGACACTGTTCGGTGGCGTACAGCGCCAGTTCTGTAAAGTAGCCGCTGGCGGGCTTCGCCACAACGAAGTCCCTAATCAGCGGGTCCTGGACGTTGAAGACGTTCAGGGTGAGGGTGCGGACGGCCGCCCGCACCGCGCCCTCTTTGTGGGCGATGAATTTGGTGGCCTCCGTGTACAGCGGGAAAGACGCCTTGTCGGCGCCCGCCTTGAAGAAGAACCCCACCGTCTTGACGCTCAGCCTCAGGCTGATGGTCTTCAGGAACGCCATGTAGCACCCCAGCACCTCATCGTCGCCCACATCGAACCGCAGCTGCACGATGTCGCCCACGCGCTCGTCCCCGAACAGCTGGGACACCGACGTCTCGTCCCGCAGGTTCTGAATCATCGCGCTCAGCATCCCAAGCACCTGCCGCGCCACCTCCCCGCCCCGATTGTCCTGGTGGCGCAGCACCCTGTGAAAGTGCCCCATCACGCCGCGCTCCAGGAACGCCTTGAACAGCCGCGGCTCGTGCTGGTCGCCCCACACCGCCAGCTCCGCGACCGACCGCAGCGCGCCAAGCACTGCATCCTTGTTGCCCCCTGCTATCACAGGGTTCTTGTCCAGGACGCCGCACAGGTGCTCCAGCTCCTCGAGAGAAAACCGCTCCCGCGGCTTCCCCCCGAACCAGTTCCACACGCTGCGCCGGGACATCCCCCGGCCAAGCCCCCAATCGATCCAGTCCAAACCACCCCCTCCCCTTGCCGCGCCCCCCCCAGGGGATCCGCACCCAAAGTCACCAGGGGCCCTTTTCTGGACCCCGATGAGCGCCAGCCGACCTTGCTGTGTTTCACCGCCGGCAATTCGAGGTCGTTATTGGCCAGCCGGCGCGTTGGGCCAAAAGTTTCGGTAGAGCGGCCGGCTGGGAGGCTGGGGGGGATTCGCGGGTGTGGCCCGGCTCATCGGAGCCTACGAAATGGAGGCCGGGGGGAGAGCCAGTCTGATGAGAAGGGGGGGCCGTACGGTGCCGGCGCGGAAGGCCTGAAAGGGATCGAGGCGTTAGTAAGGGGGGCGAGTGGCTGAGGGCGGGGCGGGGGCCACGATGGGACAGGGTCATCTGGGTCATCTCTGTCTATCATCATCGCGGTTGTTGCGACCAGAGCTGATTGAGTGTTAGTAACACAGTAGGGGTCGCTGCATAGCGCCCCCCGTGACATGGCCAACAAGGGGGCGCTGTTGGGCGCCGGGGGCGCTATTGTGTTCAGGGGGGTACCCTAAGCAGCCGGTGCAAAGGGTACCCTGGCCGCCTGTGTAGGGGGTACCATGGCCGCCATTGTAGGGGGTACCATGGCCGCCTGTGTAGGGGGTACCATGGCCGCCTGTGTAGGGGGTACCGTAGCCGCCAGGGTAGGGGGTACCTTGGCCGCCGGCGTAGGGGTACCTTGGCCGCCGGCGCAGGGGGTACCCTCGCTGTTGGCGTGGGGGGTGCCTTGGCCGCCGGTGCAGGGTATACGCTACACCCGGCCTACCGGGCCCATACTTGCTTTTCGTGCCAGCGACTTATTCGCACCGCCGAAGTCACGGGCCCTGTCACAGTGAAATAAAGTACTGCGGGAATGGTGACAAGCCATTCAGAGGGTTGCTAACCCGCCCCCCCCTACATGTAACCCGTGTCTATCTTCGTCTCCAACTCTACCTCTACCATATTGATGGTTTGTATCTAGAACAAATTGGGCAAGGCAAGGAGGTGGCCGTTGGCTTCTATTTTTATTGCCAATAATCTCTGCTTGTTCGCTGGAGTTGCCTGGTGGTAGACGAATTCTTGGGAGGAATTGCGCTTGACATGCAGGTTTGCTATTCAAGTATCATTGCCAAAGGGCGCCAAATTGCACTGCGGCTTTCCCGTGGCTGGGGAGTGACATGTCAGAACGTGAGCGCACCCCGCGCGCATAGTTGTGACGTCAGCGGGCGCGACGAGACTTCAAGCCGTGTGCAGGGATGGCGCTGCCCTGGCAGTTGCAATCAGCCCTACACAATGGGCTCCTGTGTTCAATGCAGGCCTCACTCCAGCACGCCGTTCTAAGCATTTGGACACGTGTTGAATTTGCTGGAAGGGGCCACTTTGCGCCGTTCCGACAGAACGACATTCTGAGGGCGTTGATGGCTCGAACGGGGGTCCAATAGCAGAAGGGCGCACCTGTCGGCCTCCCACATTTTGTTGGCCACGCCCAGCCCCAGAATCCAGGACACAATAGTCAGGGTTCAATGGTCCAGTCAAGCAACATGTTCCAGCACTCCCACTGTGGCACAGACTACGCAAGCCTTGTGGAGAAATGTTGCGCATCCAGGACATCTGGCCATATTCAGTCATCATATGCACAATGTGGAAACCCCATGTCCTAGGTATGAGGCGTCTATATCCTCAATGTGGAGCGTCCATATCCATGATATGGCGCCCGTATCTTTCTCAAGTTGCAGTGTTGCGGGGCCCTTTTAATGGCCTCCGCTGGTCCTTTTTGTCGCGCGCGTCCCACTTCATCTGTGACGTGGCTGCTTGGGGTAAGGCAGTTATTGACGTTTTCTAATGTGGGAATTACATAATTGGCCAAATTCACCTTTTGTATATATTATTTAGAGCTTCCTGGTTCCAACGCGCTTTTAAACGCCCAATTCCGTTAAGAATTGACGAAGATATGGCCTCCTGAAGTCGTAGTACTTAGGGCCAGGGGGTCGGGTGTTAGATGCTTGGAATTAGAGGACATTAGGTCGATCGTAGGTGAACGGTGGACGGTGACGATGTGCCTGAACGTGCACCTGATTTGTCTTGTCTTGATGTGACAGTGATACGTCAAGCGTGTGGGTGTGGGGTTCCTGCCCTCTTTGAGCCGCGGACCCGCCTCGCCAGGCACCTAGGTCCTCACGGGGACCTAGGCGGGACCACCCCTCCTACTCCCGTATCCTAATACCTAGAATGGTTACCATGGGTTAAGGATAGTTATCTTGGGCAGGGCGTCCCCCACACCAAGGGCCATTAGTAGGGCGTCCCCCACATCAGGCCGGTGTGCGTAACATTCGTCCCCCTCAGGGAGAGGGGCGTCTTTGTCCCAATGTGTGGATACAGGAGCAGAAACATTATGTATGTATACGGCAACTGGCTGTGCGATTTGCCATATGCCCAGTTTGCACGGTAATCATACATACATTATACATACTGTGATGAAGAGAAAGAGTGGTTGTTTTACATGACCTGCCGGCTTTTGATAACCCTCATTAAAACTCTTCGTTCAGCACTTCGGCTGCAATGTTCTAACCTTCCGGCCTATGTCCGTTCAAGGAAAAGATGTGGAACATGCAGGTCACCCTGCACGTCCCCTACCCCAATACGTGCAGCCACCATATGCCCAACTATGTCCACCCCGCGAATATGGACTTCGTCCTTGCCCACAAGCACGGACGGGCTCTCGCGGAGGTTGGATCAATGGCTGCTCCGTGGCCAGACATTCCCCGTTCAAGATAGCTGCGGACATTGCATTCATATGTCCGAACAGCATACGAGTATGGGGCCCGGTATACCCAGTCTGCTTCTGGGCCCACTTCAGCAGGACCTGTCAAAGGCATAACCACACATGAGCTTATTTCAACGTGTACATTTCGTACTGCGGTCCGTTGGCACATGCACAATAGGAGTTCTTCCATTTTCAAATGCTTGAACCAGTTTCTGTGCATTTGCAACTGCTTTTGCTAATTCCCAGCTATTATGCTCATGTCCATATCCCAGCCATTTGACGAGGTACTCTACGGAGTTTTGGCGCCTTCCGCCCTTTTTAATTCTTTTATTCAAAATGCGTTCAACTGCATATTCCAGTTCCCCTTCGATTTCGATAGGGACTGGAGGTGGCTGTACTCTGCCATTAGCCTTGTACGGCTTAATCTTTGATACATGAAATATTGGATGTATCTTATGCATGCTTTCCGGAAGTTCCAATCGATATGCAACAGGACCTATCCGGTCGAGGATGGTGAAGGGCCCAATCCACCTCGGTAATAGTTTTCGAGTTCCAGGGTGTTTGAGGGTGATATGTTGTGTCGAAAGGAGGATGTCATCTCCTTTATTAAATGACACATCCCTCCAATGGCGGTCCACATGCTTTGATTGCCTGTCTCGTGCTTTTTCCAAGCACTCCCTGGCCTCTTTCAGCGCTGATTGGACACGGTGATCAAATCGTGTCACAGCTGGTAGTCCCTCCACGAGGGGTGTACCAGTATGGCTTAAGTAAGGCTGTTGTGCCCTATCAATGGCCACTGCCAAGCCACGGGCATTCGGATTGTCATAGCCCTTTAATGGCTTTCGAATCTGTACCCCAAGGGCTAAGGGACTCTTTGGGTGTCGACCGTAGTTCAAATAGAATGGGGTCTCTTGGGTGGAACTGTTTTTCGAGCTGTTCATTGCAAACTCGGCCATGGCTAACAGTTCATCCCACGCGTTATGGTCAGAATGCGTATAGCTGTGTAAGTAATCCTCCAGAATCCGATTCATGACTTCGGTCTGGCCATCCGTTTGTGGATGGTATGCAATGCTCATGTTGAGCTGAATCTTCCACCTCTCAGCCAGGTACCGGTAAAACCTGGAAGTGAACCGAACGTCTCTATCGGACACTATTTGAGAGGGGAGACCATGGTGCCTTATCACATTATGCACCAGCAGGTCAGCTGCTCCTTCTGCGGAGAGCTCGGTGGTCGTGGCTGCGAAGTGGACTATTCTGATCAGCCTATCGACGAACACGATGATAGCGTCATGACCTCCCTTAGTTTTTGGCAGTTGTGTAATGAAGTCCATGGACAGTTCAGTCCAAGGCTCCTCAGGAATGCCCAGAGGCTGTAATAAGCCTGGGGTCTTTTGACGAGAGTACTTAGCCTGTTGACAAACCAGGCAAGTATCAACATATAGTTGTATTTCTCGTCGCATTCCTAGCCACCAGTAATGCTTCTGGACTAAGTCCAGAGTTTTGGCTTTACCAAAGTGTCCTGCACTTGGATGGTCGTGAGCCAACTGGCAGATCTCAGTCCGCAAACTGGCTATATATATTAGAGGTGGCCACGATCCGCATTAATTCCGGTTCGTTAATTTTTTTCCGTCCGTTAATTAACGAGAAAAAAAAAGAAAAAAAAAAAAAAAAAAAATTTTTCGATTTTTTGGGGATTTTTGGGTTTTAGTCATACTTATAGTTGAAAATTCGCTATTAGAGAGTTAAATAGGCCTATTTCAACTTATAATACGAATTTTCAAAACTATAGTTGTTGATTTTGGGTTTTTTTTTTCGATTTTGATTTTGTTTTTCTGAATTTTTCTCCCTTTTTCTTTAACGAAATTTAACGGACAGCTGATAAAAATTAACGAACCGGATTTAACGGACCGGATGGCACCCTTGAATGGCCACCTCTAGTATATATACCTGTTTGCCTCGCAGCCATAACCCATCTGTACAGCGCATCTCTTGTTGTTGTTTTACAGACGCAAGCTGGGGATCTTGGCCATAGGCTCGATGGATTTTGGAGGCCAGATCCTCTGCCTCTACTGTCTTTTTCTTATCTCCCCGCTTATGTATTACTCTTAAGCCACAGACAATCAGTTGACTTTTCCTCCTGGCTTCCCGTTCATCGGGAGACGGAGGGATGCGAAAGAGTGGATCAGCCACATTCTTTCGGCCTGGGCG